ATGTCCATAGCTTTCGTTTTCTTTATCACCTATAGTTTGAGCAATTTCGATCCATTTCTTGGCGTGCAAGACAACGTTGTCAAACTTGTTGAGCTCCCTATATGTGACGGACAAACATATGTGAACTATTAACACATAACTTGGTATTGCTACAGCTAACGGTAATATTTCCTTCAGACACCTCAGTGAATCAGCATGTCTGCCTAAGCTGTTGCTATGCTTTACGAACTGCTCGCAAGAATCTATCATGGTACTTATATCATTACAGTGTTTAGCCATCTCTATGCATTCTTTGTACAGACAAATCAGCTGTTCAGTTGAAGGTCCAAGTTCCTCTGGCAACATGGAGGCCGACGCACAGCAAAATCTTACAAAAGTAGTCTTCTTGAACATATCCATCTTCAGCTTTACTTGTTATTCAACATTAATCTAAAATGAAACAATAAGTTGATAATTAAACAAGCATAAAAAGAATGAGTAAATGAGTAATGATAATTTTTAATACTAAAAATTGAAATCAAGAAAAACATGTTTTGTATACATCAGTGGCAGGTCCAGGAATTTTAGAAGGGGGGTTACAAAGGTTTTACCAGGAATACCAGNTGTTTTCTTGCCTGTCTTTACCGCTTCGTCAAGATCCTGCAAGAGCTCATCTTCAGGACATGTTGGTACCTCTAATAATTCTTTTACTGAGGGAGCATCACACTTGTCAAACAAACCAACTCTTGCATAAAGATTAGAACGAATTTCTTTGAACTTTTCTTCAGCTTCTTTTTCTCCAAGCTCTGTAGCAATCGCTATGCCTGCATCTATACTCTGAGACACTTCATTCAACTGGAACGAGTCTATATATGCTCTAGCGAGACAAAGACGTCCTTCCATCTCATTKTTTTTGTCGCCAATTTCTTGAGAGATGTCCAGGCATTTCTTACCGTATTGGATGGCATTATCGATGCTTTCCTTATCATCTGATGTGTGGTATACAGACGAAAGACCGAGACATCCTTGTGCTTCAATCTTTTTCTCACCAGTTTCCTGTGCCATGTCGATGCATTTCTTGAAATAATGCACTGCATCATTATATTGTTTCAGTCTCTCATAAATATCCCCTAGATACAAACACGCTTTTGCCCCATCATCCTTTTCGAGGCCAATACGGTTCACGATGTCTATACATTGCTTGTAATTCTGAATGGCTTCATCGTATTTCTCCAAAGACTGGTATACCTCTCCCAAAGTCAGATACGCATTAACGTCAGCAGTTTTTTCTTCATTATCTTCCTTGTCAATGTGAACACACTTGTTGCAGTTGGAAATGGCATCATCGTATTTCTCCAAGGAATAATATATATCTCCAAGGACGCCATAAGCATGGGCCTCAGCATCTTTATCGCCAATAGTTATTGCAAGCTCAATACCCTTCTTGCAATAGATAATTGCATTGCCGTAGTCGGAAAGAGCATTGTATATCTTCCCCAAAAATAAGTAAGTCCAGTTTTCAACAAATCTTTCTTCTATTTCCCTTGCTATTTCAATGCATTTCTGTCCATATTCAGTGGCATCWTGATAGTGGTTCAAGACAAGATGTGCTCTTCCTAGCTCTGAGTACGCTTCCATCATAATCTTCTGATTGTTGTTTTTCATGGCGCAATCAAGAAGCTTGTGCGCATACAGAATAGTGTCATCATATTTCTGCATGCTTGCATATGCGACCATTATAAGGTTATATGCATTTATCTCGCCTTCAGYACTATCAATTTCMTGKGCAATTTTAAGACATTTTTTGCCACAGTCAATAACATCATCATAACGAGCTAAGRMTGAWAACSCATTTCCCAWYTCATGATGTCCATACATTTCGTTTTCTTTATCGYCKATAGTTTGAGCAATTTCGATCCATTTCTYRGCGTGCAAGACAACGTTWTCAAACTCGTTGAGCTCCTTATATGTGAAGSACAAATATGTATGAACTATTAACTCATAACATGGTATTGCTACAGCTAACGGTAGTATTTCCTTCAGACACCTCAGTGAWTCAGCATGTCTACCTAAGCTGTTGCTATGCACTACGAACAGCATGCATGAATTCATCGTGGTACTTATATCATTACAGTGTTTAGCCATCTCTATGCACTCTTTGTACAGACAAGTCAGCTGTTCAGTTGACAGTCCAAGTTCCTCTGGCAACTTRGAGGCCGACGCACAGCAAAACCYTACAAAAGTAGTCTTCTTGAACATATCCATCTTCAGGTTTACTTGTTATTCAACATTCATCTAAAATCAAACAATAAATTGATAATTAAACGAGCACACACTAGAACGAACGAATCAATAATAAGAATATTTTTAAATATCAAAAATTGAAATCAAGAAAAACATTTTTGTATACATCAGTAGCAGATCCAGGAATTATAGAAGGGGGGTTACAATGGTTTTACCAGGAATACAAGGAAGGGGGTGACTTACTAAGGATAATACTGAGAAATATGAGCAAAACGGTGAGGGGAGGGGGTGGTGACTAGTCACCCCCTTCACTACCCCCACATCCACCCCTGTACATAAATAATAAGATATGAATTGTTGAAAATATTACAATATTGCCTTTTTTCTTGTTGGGCCATAAGCCAAGAGTCAAACACTTTAGTACTTTTGAGACTTTCATGTGTTACCAGGGTCTATTGAGTGTTCTATTTGTTCAGAGCTAACACTTACAACCATTCTCCATCACATGCACCACTCTAGCAACTGTTTCTGTCGAGATGAAGAAGCTTTTGGTGGAAGTCAATCAAGGCRTTTCTATGACATTCCATAGGCACATGCCTTTATAGCTTTGTGTTAACTGACAATGCTAGGGAAATTCCTTGTGATTGATGCCCATCAAAACCTTCTTCATCGCGACAGAATCAATCGCTAGAGGGTGCGTGTGGTTGAGAATGACTGTAAGATCTAGGATCACCATAAAAATTTAAAAAAAAGAATTAATTTTCAGCTTTTGAAAGGGTATAGACAATCTTCATGAGTGTCACAAACATACCCAACCTCTAAAATCTAATTTATGCTTCTAAATTCTGAATTATGAGTGTTTTTTTATTTTTGGAAAATCTGCAACCGTGCATGGCTGGAATGGACTGGACTTCAATTCACCRGATTGTGAGGATCGAAAAGCATTTTTACTCTGAATTTGCAGTTTTTATCCTATAATTTTAATTATATTATTCATAACTAAGGAYTTTATGCYGAAATCATGTAAAAATATCAACATTCCCCCCCTATTTTTGGAAAACATATTGGATCTTGAATCGTAGAACATTTTGCTTTTCTGCCCATCCACTAACAGTCAAACACTTTAGTCCCGGGGGGGGTACTCCGCCAGAATTTGGGTAGGGGTGTTCCGCTGGGATTCTGAAAGGGGTACCCTGTTTATGACGGGAAAAAATCGTATTTGCAGACCCTGTTTATGACAAAAGATATAATTAATTGCACTGAGTTCCTGTTTCAATTATCATGTCATCTCACGTATCATTTTTTTACGACCATGGTAACCAGTTTCAGTCAATACGAAAGTAGAAATCCTGAATATGACAAGAAACTCAGGAAGAATTTGGACCCCGTTTATGACAAGAAGCTCGAAAAACCATACCCTGTTCAGCGGATCATCCCCGTATAGTTCATATATGGGAGTACCCCCCCCCCGGTCCGGGACTTTAGTACTTTCCAAACTTTCCAAACCAAGGTCTATCGAGCGTTCTATTTTATTAAATAATATTTTTATTAAAGGGAGTATATAATCAGTGATAAACTCCCTTAAACTTGAAGTTTGCTTCTGAATTTTGCATTTTCAGAAATTTTTTTAAAAAAGAAAGAAGCAGATGAGATTTTTTGGAAAATCCAGAATCGTGTAGATTGACAACGATCGTTGTAGTTTCGATTGCGTTGCAGTTTTCGTAGTACAGCAACAAAGATTGGGTTAAAATTTATTTTATTCACATATTTTCCTAGT